CCATTCCTATCAAGTGTGACAATACTAGTGCTATTTGTCTCACTAAAAATCCCATCCAACACTCTAAAACTAAGCACATTGAAATAAGACATCACTTCATTAGAGACCATGTCACTAAGGAAGATGTAGTTCTAGAATTTGTTGATACTTTGCACCAATTAGCGGATATCTTTACAAACCTTTAGACAAGGAAAGATTTTGGACACTTAGGAGAGAATTAGGTTTGACCAACCTATCTTCACTTAGTGTTTAAAAATAATTTTAACACTTTTAAGAATAAATGAAAAATGCTTATAATAGTAATTTTTGATTGCATTCATTGCTATTAGTTAGGGGGAGTTTATTATTCTTGATGAAAAATTAATTTTATGTTCAAATATCGTTTAAAGATTATTTAATTGTTTGAACATGATTAATTTTCAATATATGAGTTGCCAATACCACTAGAGGAAATTAATTTAGCATTTTGGGTGTTTAAAATCGGATTTTAGCATTTTGGTACAGAGGGAATCGATCCCCCCATGAGGGAACCGATTCCCCCTTTGAAGGGGAACCGATTCCCCCACAGGGGAATCGATACCCCCTAGGGTACTAGTTATACACGGGAAGAACCCTTGGTTTTGGCTCAAAACCCTCTTCTTCTCTCTTTGCCGTTTCTTCCCTCTACTCTCTCAAATCTCCATTCTTGCCTTAAATCAACATTTTTAATCGGAATTCTCTTCAAATATCATCTTCTAAACCTGTTGGAATCATCAAAAACGTGCAAACTTCATCTAATCTCACTCAAATCCGAAATCCTTCAAGGTATTTTTTCAAAACCTCTATTTCATCAATTTATTAACATATAACTAGTTTTAATTAGTTCTAGGTTGAACTTTTGATCGAGCATTGATTGTTTAGTGATTAGAAACTAGATATTACAACTAATTTCATCAAAACACAAGAATTTTTCAAAAATTTTGAATTTTTCGAAATAAAAAAAATATTTTTCAAATTATTGTGTTTTGATTGAATTATGTTGTTGTTATGAAAACAATATTGTTTTTCAAAACCTTATTTTCAATAGTTTTCAAAAACTTTGCCCATTAGGATTGATTTAGAGAACCTTGAAATATTGAGGACTCAATTGAGTTTTGGGATTGATTGAATTGCATACATTTGTTTTCTAAAATTGCAGGTTATTCATTCTATTATGATTTCCTAAACCATGTCCAATCCTAAACGTGTTAGGTCTTCATCTAGTCGCTCACACCGTAAACCAAATCCACCTCTAAATCCTCCTCCTATTCCTGTAAATCCAATTCCTAATCCTGATCCCAATATAACTATCCAAAATTCATGCTTCAATCATCCTGGTTCTAGAAATCATCATTTTGGTATTATCAATATTTCGACTCTTACAAAATTAGAGAAGAACGTATCCCTTCTCGTCAAGCTATGTTAGATATTAATTTTAAATATCTTCCTCTTTTACAAGAGTAGAAATTTGATAAACTTTTTGATCTTGAACCAATTATCTACCATCAACTTGTTCATATCTTTTATTCTAATGCTGTTTGTATCAAAAACCGAGCTCAAACCGAAACCGTAGAAGTTCGTTCCTACCTCCTAGGACAATTCTTACATATTAACTCGGCTTACATAGCCAAGGCATTAGGATTAGATAACGATGGTATTTCAAATGAAAAACAAATCTTAGGATCTCGTTATAAAAGAAGGGATAGTGCAAGTGTCTTAGACCTTCGTGAGCGTTTTCTTCATCTAATGATTTCTTGGTGGTTTCGACCATCTGGAGGTCGTTATTCTACTCTTAGAGCCTTGGATCTTTGGTGGTTACATTGTTTTGAAAATAGTATTAAAATAAACCTACCTCAGATCATTTTTGCTGAAATAGTTGAAACCGTAAATCTTGTTCCTAACAAGAAACTTTGTTCATTTCTAGTTTACGGTTGTATTTTAAGTAATCTATTTTCTAAAGTTGGGCTTAGAGTTGGTCTAGATGCTTCCTTTCCTCTAAAGAAACAAATTAATCTTCTTTCTTTAACGAGAGCGGGATGGATAAAGGATAAGGAAATCGGTGAATGGGTTCGATCTTCTGAAAGTACTCCGGGAGCTAGTTCTTCACGAGCTCCACCAGAAGCTGAAGACGATCCTGAGCTTGAGCAATTAATGCAAGACATCGATGAAGCTGAAGATGAGCCTGAGCAGCCCGAGGAGCAAGCACAACAAACGCATCAAATGCCTCCATATTTTCAATCCTTTATGGAGACATTCGATTTCCGATATGCTACCATGGACTCGCGCTTTACTTCTATAGAGTCCCATTTATCCACAATGGGAGCTCAACAATTAGAAATTCTTCGAGAGATGCGTACAAACAATGAAGCAACCAACGCTCGTATTAATGAACTCACTCATGAAATGGCCGCTATGCGAGCCCGTTTTCCTCCTCCTGATCCGGATATTTGATTCTGCGCTTAGCATTGAAACTTTGAACCAAAAAGAATATTGTTTCAACATTTTGAATATTTTGGATTGTTTGATTTTGTGGTTTGTTAGACTTTGGATTTGTTTGGATGTTTGAATTTATATATTTGGTTAAGTAAAATTTATTGCATCATTTACATCATTTTAGCAATATGACCAATTTCGCCATATCACATTTCTTATGAATATTGATTATGAAACTAATGGCTAACGTTTCTCTTGATTGTGATCTTAGCATCTTAAACTATATTCAATTGGCTAAATGATTTCAAAACCTTGTTTTAAATTCTTTTACGGGTCTTTTTGATTTAACAAAAAGGGAGAGAAGTGTTAAATGTTTTTAAAGGAGAGAAATGTTAAAGTAAGGGGGAGTAATTTCAAAACTTGATTTCAAAATCTTAAAATTACTAAAATGTTTTGTTATATCAAAAAGGGGGAGATTGTTGAATACATTTTGATATTTCGATATAACAAATTAAGATAAATAAATTTTAAGATTTTCCAAATGATTTTCTAAGTATATTCGATATAATTATTCGAATATCAAAACATTACTCTAAATCTTTCAAAAGTCATTTTTAATCCTTACTTAAGTGTAAAATTAAGTTTTAATCTTAAAACAATTTTAAAATAATTTTACAAAGTATTTCAAACCATTTCAAAGCCAAAAATTACAGCCTACCCAGAGGGAACCGATTCCCCCCCAAGGGGGTACCGATTCCCCCCTGTTCAACGATCGAAATATTTGAATTTTACACTTAGGGAACCGATTCCCCATGAGGGGTACCGATTCCCCCCACGCTCCAAACTGTTTTATTAATTGATTTCACACTAAAACGACTATATTATCTTCACTAAATCATCCCCAACATTCAGAAGTGATCCAAGGTGTATTTAAGAAAGCTTAGGAGCCATTGATCAATAACAAAAAACATCAAGCAATTAGAATCAAGAGAGAATCAAAGAGAAAGCATCAAACCTCAAGTTTGAGCATTTCAAGCCTATTTTTCATTCAATATTCATTTTGCTTTCAAGAAAACTTATTGTGCTCAATTGTATTCATCTTTAAGTGTTCTTTTCTTTGTTCTAGAATTGTGCAAACAATCTACCTTGTGAGGATTTCCTTGTAAGTTTGCAAAATTTTATTATTCTCTTTGGGAGAGTGTTCTCAAGAATTTGGGGTATAATTCTTGAGGGTTTGTAAGGTTACTCTTTGTCCTCAAAAGAAAGACAAATTAGTGAATTTTTGGAAAATCCTTAGTGTGGATAACTAAGGTAGTGGACGTAGTCTTTGGTTGATAAAGTCAAACCACTCTAAATCGTTGTGCAATTACTTTCAATTTTATGCAAAAGCTTCCACCAAAATTTTAATTGCCAATTCACCCCCCTCTTGGCCGATTCCGTCAATCGATTAACTCAACAAAGAGATCAGAATAGAGTGTCTAGTGTGTTCCCACAAAATCAATGAAAAGGTACATATCTTTTTAAAACAGTAATAATTTAAAACATATTTTTAAAACCGTAGTAAAACCCTCCAACCGAATGCCAATATGTATTTCCCCAGAACTATATCCATAAGGACTTACCCTAGGCCCATTAGGCATATGTGCCAATCGAAGGGAACACATTGGGTTCATAAGGTCTTACCCTAGCCGAAGCGTAGGTGCCCACCTGAGGGGAGTGTCCTCAGATCCATAAGGACTTACCCAAAGCACATAGCAGAGGTGCCACCCTAAAGAGTTACTTAGGGTCCATAAGGTCTTACCACTAGGTCCATTAGGCCTAGGAGCCACCCAAGATTCACCTTAGATCCGTAAGGAATTACCAGCTCGATTGGTCTAAACCTATATAAGGAATTACCAATTTGACCAAGCTGAACCTACCGTAAGGAATTACCAGTTCGATCGGTCTGAACCTATATAAGGAATTACCAGTTTGATTGAACTGAACCCGCATAAACTTCATACCAGATCCCAGAATACCCTGAAGAAAAACATTTTTCAGACAGAAATCAGTGGTAGCAGGAAATCAGAGTTCAGACATATCAATTCAATAGAAACGGTATCTAGAGATCATGAATCAGACAGGTAGACTTAAACTTCAGTAACTCAAAAATCTGGGTAAAATACATTTCAGAATGGATAAAACCAATCATATAACTATAGGGAAACACTAGAGGATCCAGTTATTCTCTAAAGGTGCTTGATATTTTCAGATAGGGAGTCATGAAACTTCTGTAAACTGATTAAATTCATAAACGAGATCCCCATAAAAGGGTTTGATAGCTGACATATTCATCGTTATTCAGAACGTGATTTATCAGGATCATACTCTAATATATGAGTTTGAGTAAAATAAGCATTGGATTTCATTTTCCTTGAATTAAAATTAGCATTCGAGTAAAATGTCTATGTTCAACATTTAGAATACGACTTCCCTTGGTTTATTATGTTTCTCAAACATTTTTTCTTTGCATGAACTAAGAATTTCGGTGCATGTGAAATTATTTGCAGAAGCTTCACCTGTAGTGAATGAAGAGACGGGTCCATTGGAGGCAAATGGCAATCTCTTCTCGGGAAAATGTATATTGATCCAAATCAGCTTCAAGAAAGCAAGTAAAACCAGTTGCTCGACTTCACAAGATTCTGAAGTTCAGTTTGTTACTGATGAGGATGTTCAAGTTGAAACAAATTCCCAAAAATAATTAAATTTTGTAAAATAGCAAACTCGAATTTTGTAGTTACCTGTCAGTGTTCATCCTTAGCTTGAAGGTAATTTAATGTTATTCAAGCTTAGTTTTGATCTGTGTTTCTTATAATGTACAAAAATGTTCTTAAAATCAATTATTTGTGCTCTAATTTATGATCAACTACGACTTGGACATGGTATAGGACAAGAGAAACAAAATTGTTGACCTTTGACTCTGCAAGTGCCAAAAGTTGTACAACATACACAACGTTAACCGCAAACTATGAATTAAGTATATGATATAAACATAGTTTAAGGAATGTTATGGTTATTTAAGGTATTGAGTTCAAGCATTGTATATGTCAGAGTTGGAGATGAACTTATGTGGGACAGTTATTTTTAAAAAATTCTATATATTTTAGATGTATTTTTTTATTGAAAATTTATTTTCACCTACAAAATTTTATAATCTTGTTTGCTTCTTTCTCTCTGGCTCAGGATACAAGCTTTTATTATTAAATGGTTGAGAATCTTTAAAAATTAAAGTTATATTTTTTTTTCTATTTCGAAGTCTTTTATGTCAGCTTCCTTCTCTCAACTTGGCATTTTCTCCAGTTTTCTCTAGTCGGAAAATTGTTAAAATATTGTTATTGTTTCTTAAGGTTTTATGTTTGAGCACTACATATAAGGGTGGAAGCCATGCCCCTCAAAAATTGAGAAATTATAGTTTAGCCACTTAAATTTTTAAAAATATTTAATTTGGTCCTACAAAATTTTTAAAAATTCAAATTAAACAAAAATTTTGAATTTTTTTTTATTAAACCCTCCCATATTTTTTTTAAAAATTATTATTAAACCTCTAAAATTTTCAAAAAATTTAGTTATATACCAATTTTTTAAAAAAAAGTAAATTGAACCCTTCAAAAATTTTAATTTAAATACCTAAATTTTTTTAAAGTTTTAAGTTCCCCAAATTCTAACGCTAATTTTCGCCACTAATACATATGTTAGAGGCAAGGATGAACCTAGGCGAGACAATCACCCTTTTAAAAAATTCAAACTTTTATATATTTTAGATGTAAAATTTTTATAGAAATTATACTTTTGATATCGAGTTCAGCACGACATATGTCATGAATATAAACATTTATTCTCAAATGTTCCTCTTCTTTCCATTTCGGAGTCTTTCATGGCAACTTCCTTCTTTCAACTTGGCACTTTCTCCAGCTTTACCTTCTCGGAAAATTGTTAATCCCTTTCCATGGTGGTTTCGTGTTTTTTTTTCGGTGGCAAACATAATTATCAGGTAACTTCAATCTCTAACTCTCTGTTTGTTTTTTATTCTCATAATTCCTGAGAAAATTCATGCTTGATGGTAAATTATTTCAATGTTATTGCTTTCCATCTTTTCAATGATCCTGACATTGGCTTTTGATTTGGGTATTTTTTTTGACATTTTTTGAAAAATTAATTCAAATGCTTTAATTTTCCGGTTTCATAATGATTAAGATGCACAAGTTTCATCAAGCAATAGGACTGTAAACGAACCGAACGCATACGAACGAAGGTATATTCATGTTCGTTCATTTAATATATAAACGAACAAATTTTTTTTTGTTCAGTTCGTTCATTAAGGAATATAGCTTGTTCATGTTCGTTCATTTAATAAATAAACGAACATAAACGAACAAGAACGAACGAACATAAACGAATACGAACGAACATAAACGAACAACACAAACACAAAATAAAACTTATTCGAACACAACAAACGAATGTAAAAAAAGTAAACAACAAGAATAACAACTTAAAATTCATTAATATAACCTGCAACTTTAGAGTTAATTTGTTTGAATACGACAAAAACATACATAAATCATAAATAAGCTATATGAATATAATAAAGTCTTAAAGTTATTTTGTTCAACAAAACAATCTTCTTGAAATCCAAACAACTTCAATAATCTTCGTAACATATTCAACTTGCCCTCTGTTCGAATATAAATGAACGAACATAAATGAACATAAATGAACGAACATAAACAAACATATAATCGACCGTTCACGAACGTAAATGAACTAACGAACCCTTTGTTCATATTCGTTCATTTAATTAAACGAACACAAAATCTTATTAATATTCATTCATTTAATAAATAAAAACACATAAACGAACTTCCCATCGTACGATTCATGAACGATTGCTGAACGTTCAATTTATTTAGAGGCCTATCAAGCAATTACCATAAGGCAGGATTAAGAAGAGAAAAACCCCATGTAATCTTTTAAAGCGGGACCGCTTCCAAAGCAGATGCATGAACATCGTGAGTAGTCAATAATGTCAGGCTCTACAGATCCAACATTATTTCAGACAGGTAGGACCAACCCAACATTAAAAGCAGTAAAGGGCGATAATTTCAACAAAGCTGAATTTGCATTTCTTTAAAGTGGCTGCAGCGGAGCTTCCTCATATTTTCCTAGAAAGAATTTTCCATTGCCTTTCGCACTGCTTCCTCTGTGTTGTAGGTGAAGCTTAGTTTAAGTTAAGGTGAGTGAATAGCCGCTCTTCTGCAAACCAAGGAACTTCATTTGGCCGTTTTCTTCATCAGCTGCTTCTCTCCGATCATAGTCTTCGAACAACCTTCTCAAAGAGGTATTTATGGAATTTCAACATTTTTTTCAAAGCTCATAAACGGCTGTAGAATAGATTCCTTTCATATTTAGACTACCTGATTAGAGGAAATTTTCTTAATATTATTATTTAATTTAATAAATTTTTATCTAATATGATGATAATACATGTCACCACCCAATAAAAAACGAGATAAACCAAAGGAGGAATTAAATTGAGACACCATAGTAGCCTTTATAATTTATTCCAGTTAATTACTATAGCTTCTTTTATGAAGGGCATTGATGACATCTCGGTATGGAGGAATGCACTAAAAGTATCTTATAATCAGATATTTTTTTATTTTTATTCATAATTTAATTTTGTTCCTTGAAATTTTGAAATTTCACATTCTTAATTTCTGTTAATTTAATTTGATTATTCGTGAGAGGGTGAAAACTTTTTGATTTACATCTTTTAATTTATTAAACATTTTTGTAGAGTAAAATGAAGTTATATTTTTAGTCATGTTTAGATACATTCACCTAATGATGCGTTATTATTTAGTTTCTAACATATTGCTTGTGACTTGCAGCCATGGACTTTGTTCTGAATAAGATAGATAAACACTTGGACAATCATAGAAGCCTTGATCAACATCGGAAGGACTTTAAAAGAAATTGGAGGAATTGAATGTTTGAAGGAAGACACAGAATCTATAATGAGATCAGAGTTGCAGCCGAGAAAGAAATCAAGGCGGAAGTCCAGATATGGTTGGAAAATGTTGAAAGAATCAATGGCGAAGTGCAAGTCCTTGATGGAAGAATCGGCGAAAGTAGTGCTCTTACACGTGGATTTCACACAGAAGATGTGTCAAAGAGTATAACGGAAGTGAAGAACTTATTATTCAACATGGTAAGTTTCATGGAGGTTGGTGGTGACAATCCTCAATGGATAGGACAGTTTATCGACAACAGTTTATCAGGTGAAGCTGTAAAGGCATGTATGGAAGAGATCTGGCATTGCTTGATGGATGATGAGGTTCCAAAGATTGGAGTTTGGGCATGGGTGGCGTGGGAAAACAAGCATCATGAAGGTTATAAACAACCAATCTTAAAAGAGAGAGGAAATTTGATATGTGATTTTGATCACTGTATCCAAGGATATGACTATTTCTAAACGAGAAAGACATTGCAAGTAAAATAGGAGTCACATTTTCTGGTTATGAGAGAATAGGAATTCCTGAGCCGTCAATGGGAGTAAATTAGTGTTGACAACAAGATCAGCTGATGTGTGTCGACAAGTGGGTTGTAGAATGATTAAAGTGAAGCCTCTGACGGAAGAAGAGGCATGGAAGTTGTTCTTGGAGAGGCGGGTCGTGATATTCTCAATATCGAGGGGTGAAACCAATTGCAAGATCAATTGCTAAGCATTGTGCAGGTTTGCCCCTGGAGTAATTACTATAGCTTCTTGTATGAAGGGCATTGATGACATTTCAGAATGGAGGAATGCACTAAATGAATTAAGTCTACGCGAAAAGAGTGTTAATGGATTCGAAGATGAAGTGTTCCAACAATTACAATTTAGTTATGATCGTTTAAAGAATCCAAAACTTCAAGACTGTTTCCTCAGTTGTGCATTATATCCGGAAGATGGGAAATTGAAGAAGGAAGTCTTATTCAACTTTGGGTCGCAGAAGGGCTTGTGGAAGAAATGGATAGCATGCGGGCAGGGTTTGACAGGGGTCGTGCAATAATGAATAGACTCATCAGCAATTGCTTGTTGGAAGTTTTTACTGAAAAAGAACATGCAAGAACTGTAAAGATGCATGATCTTCTAAGGGACATGGCATTGCATATTGCAAAATCTCGATTCTTGGTAAAAGCCGGCACGATGTTAAAAAAGGCACCAGATGTGCAAGAATGGAGCATGACTCTAGAGAAAATTTCGATGATGAGGAATCGGCTGTTATATATACCCTTGGAAATGTCACCCCCAAAGTGCCCCAGGCTCACAACATTGTTGTTGTCTCATTGCAATATAGCGAATCTTCCTAAAGGGTTCTTCAAGCATATGCGTGGGCTTAAGGTTCTTGATCTTTCCAAAAATCCTATCAAGAGTCGTCCAATTTCCTTGTCAAAGTGTCCCGGGCTCACAACATTGTTGTTGTCTGGTTGTGATATAAAAAGTATTCCAGAAAGCTTCTTCGATGATATGAATGAACTCAAGATTCTTGATCTTTCCTACAATCCTATCAAGAGTCTTCCGCATTCCTTATCAAATTTGAAGAACCTCGCTTCATTGTTGCTTGCTTCTTGTGAAGATTTATGGAGTGTTCCATCGTTGTCAAATTTTAGAGTTTTAAGGAAGTTGGATCTTCGAGAAACAAAGATCAAGGAAATCCC